TGGATGTACCATGTCTTGTGATGTCCTATCCATTCCAATCTCTTTAAACAAATATCGGATTGGATAATATTTTGTTAATTTCTCCTTATAATCCTAACGCAATCCAAACATAGGATAGGACATACAATCCAAAAAGATTTGTAATTCTAGGATTATTAGTCATGGGAATATTAATCCAACCTAATTGAGTCTACCCAAACAAACATGGCCTTACAGTACTTTTCTCAAACGTAGCACTCCAAAAAAACTCTTAGCGTAACACTCTAATGTAACACACAAAAAACTCCTTAGTATATTTTTTCCAAACGTAACATTCTAATATAATACTCTAAAAAACTCTTTAGTCGAACACTCTAATGTAACACATAAAAACTCCTTAGCGTGACACTCTAATGTAACACAAAAAAAAAAAAAAAAAAAAAAACTTGGTTTATTTTTCCTAAACGTAACACTCTAATATAATATTCTAAAAAAACTCCTTAGTGTAATACTCTAATTTAACTTACAAAAACTCCTTAATGTAACATCTAATGTAACACAAAAAAAAAATTTCTTAGTGTAACACTTTAATATAACACACAAAAAAAAAACCTCTTTAGTATACTTTTTCCAAACACAACACTCCAATGTAACACATATAAAAATAAATAAAAAAACTTCTTAGTATATTTTTCCTAAACGTAACACACCAATGTAACATTAAAAAAAAAGAAGCCCCGTTTGGTATAGTTGTGGGAAGGTGATTATAGATTATGACTTAACAGATTATAGATTATACCTTTAAATATAAGTTGTTAACCTGTTTGGTGCAACTGTGGGATTATAGATTTAATTAGTAGAGTAGTGTTTTGTTGAATAAGCTATAAAATAGCTTTTTACTGTGTAATATCCTTTTTGTCCTTATAAAATATAAAATTTGTGATTTCATTTATAATACATTTTTTTTCTTTTTTTTTAAATTTTATTTTCTTTTTCTCCTTATTTTCTTTTATTTCTTTTTTTTTTCCCTTCTTCTTTCTTTGTTAATTTTATTTAATTTATTAATTCATTAAAATTAATACAAATTAATATTCATGTTCTGATTTATATTAATGTTGTGATTTCATTACATATTATTTTTTATATATTCATTTTATTTAATTATATCTGTATTTATTTTCTTTATTATTATTAATTGTGATTTCTGTTCATCAATTAGTATCAATTAGTATAAAATTATTTCATTAATGAAAGTTAATATAATTAGTATCAATTAATATAAAAGTTATTATTATTGTTTTATATATATATATTTATATTAATGTTGGGTACATGCTAGAGATAGAACGCCAACACCGTCGCCGTCAATGACCTAGCCACCGTCGAAACAATGCCGGAGATGCGTGAGCCGTCGATGGCGGTGGTTCTCCGACCATATCGCGGAGAGAGAGAGAGAGCGAGAGAGAGAGAGAGAGCTTTGGTTTGTTGATCGATGGCGGTAGTTCTCTGACCAGATCACGAAAAGAGAAAGAGAGAGAGAGAGACAGAGCGAGAGAGCTCTGGTTCATTGATGCGATGGCGGTGGTTCTCCAACTAGATCACGACGCTAGGTAACATGAGGGTTTGCTCCTCAACATGATGGTAACGGGAGGGTTTTGCTCCTCCGATTAGGGTTTTAGATCGCGATGGTGATGGTGGCAGAGAGAGAGTTTGAGAGAGAGAGAGAGAGAGAGAGAGAAGAGAGATCGCGAAGAGAAAGAGGAGAGATAACAAAGAGAGAGAACTCTGATTTGTTTTCACCGGAAAATCGCTCTTGCTGGAAATCGCTTCTCTCTGTCTCTCAAGTGAGCAAATGAACAGTGTTTTGAGAAATGAGATTTATATAGTTGGGTTTTTGGTAATAGTTGACAAAGAAAGAGTGCATTTAAGTAATTTTGCATGTCCTCTGTTAATCTCAAACGCGGAAGCTGCTCCTAGCCACTTCTGATTCCAACCATTTTTCTTCAAGGAAAAAAAACTACAAAATCAGAAGCTAATGAACAAAAGTTTAAACAAACAGTCTAAAATATCTTTTTGGAAGCTAAAATCTATAATCTGGTGTCTAAAATCCACACCAAACACTCCCAAAGAATGTGAGTTTTTTTCAAACAATTTCAAAAGGAGTACAAATATTATTTAATAAGTTTTTGTGGCAAATGTATAATTTCAAATTGTGAGTGTTACGTTTAGAAAAAATACACTAAATTTTTTTTTTTAGTGTTTTTGTGTGTTATATTAGAGTATGTTATATTAGAGTGTTACGTTTGGGAAAAGTACACTAACAATTTATTTTATTTTTTGTGTGTGTTATATTGAAATGTTAAGTTTGGAAAAAGTACATCAAAGAGTTTTTTTTTAGGGTTACGTTGTTACGTTTGGAAAAAAGACACCAATGAGCTTTTTATTCTGTTACATTGAAGTATTATATTATTGAAGTGTTAGGTTTTTGGTTGTAATGTGCGATTTGTTCTAGAATGAGGGAAAATTCAAAATTTTTATAGTGCAAATTGCCCAAATGTGTAATTTTACATTTTGAGAACCCTTTTTTATCCTTAAAAAATTAAACCAAACATGTAAGTGACCCATTTTATGTAATTTCCACTTTAATGAGACATTTGGGTTCATAAGAAAAAAAGGGAGGGCTAAACAGTTCACAATACCACATTTTGGGACTTATTGGTGCCACCCTTTTTATTTAACATAATTAACAGAAAAAAATTGTAATTACTCTTTTATATAACAATAAAATTGCTAGAATTGTTAATTGAAATATATTTGTGATATCATTAAAAATTTGTTAATCATCTCGATGGTTTATTAATAAAAAATGATCATTTATTATGCGATTACAAATTTGAAGTGACGATATATAAATTCTAAAATTATAAGTGACAATTCACATTTTAAGCAAATCTCAATAAATTTATTTATATTTTATCTTAACTTTTAACTTGCACCAAACATGTTTAAAACTACTTGATAACGTGACCTATTTGTCCTTAAAATGAATATATATATATATATACACACCCAAGTTAGGGATTTATGTCTAAAATTTTTGGACTAATAAACACAAATTCTATTATTTTTGGGCCAAAGAGACAATTATAATTTAAAACACTATTTTACTCCTACCTATTTATCTATCTGTTTACTATCTACTTATTTATCTATATCATCTTTATGTTCACTATCTATCCATATGTCATCTATGCGATGTTATCACCACACAAAAAAAGAAAAAATAAAAAAAACCAACAAGTGCTTCTTAAGCATTGTTTAATATTAGGAAATGTGTAAAAAGTATTTTAAAAATATGTGAAAATATTGAAAAATGTATTGATTTGAATAAAAATATATTAAATTTAGTAAAGATGTTTTGTATTCTTCATTTTTTTTTGATATTTTTATTTGTGTCCTATAAACACTTGTTAACAAGAAAAAAAAAAAGGAGAAGCTCATGTTTGCTTGCATGTTTCTTTGAGCTCTGGGTCTTTTGAATCTTGAAGTGGAGAATGATAGCCAAGAAGTGATCACCCTTTGTGTTTCTGAGATGGTTCCTCCGTGGGACATTGCTACACTCCTGCATAATATTCAGGTTGTGTCTTCTTCTTCCAAAGTTTCCTTCTTTTACCAAACTTTTTCAAAAACTATAAATTGTAGACAGACAAGAAATAGTGAAGTAATACCAAACTGAAGATTGGATTTCTGTACACAAAAAAAAAAAAAAAAAAAACAAGAAAAAAAAAAAAAGTCAAACCTTAAACCAAACTTTCCTTAAGTTTTGTTTGGTTTCAATTTTCAGAAATTATTTTTAGATAGATTTTCATTTATTTTTATTGAACTTTTTTTCATATTTTGATCATTTTGTTTAATTTTTAAATATATCAAAGATTAGATACATATAAAAAATAATAAAGTTTAGTTAAAATATAAAAAAAAAATCATTAAAAACAAACGAAAATTTGAAAACAAATGCACACAATTTTTTTGGTACGAATTTCCGTTTAATTTTAGTGATATTTTTAACATTTAAGTCATTTTTTAAAGGGCAAATTACATATACACCCCTCGAGGTTTGGCTAAATTACAAATACCCCCCTGAGGTTTGAGAAATTACGAATTCCCCCCTGAATGCTATATTTGCATAAGAAATTAGGGGGTAATTTGTTATGAAATATAAACCTCAGGGGGTAAATAGTTATGAAAATACAAACCTCAGGGGGCGGGATGTAATTTCCGAAACCTCAGGGGGATATCTGTAATTTAACCAAACCTCGAGGGGTGTATATGTAATTTGCCCTTTTTTAAATATGTATCTTAATTAGTTACATTTAAAAAATATAAAAAAATTTACTTAAAATATACACAAATTCATTAAAAATAAAAACTCATCTAAAACAGTTTTTGGGGGAAAAAAAAGGGTAAATCACATTGACACGTCTTGAGGTTTGGTCCAATTACAACTCACCCCTTGACGTTTTGAAAATTATATTTCTACTCCTGTGGTTAATAGTCTCATTTCACAAACTCTCTGCTTATATAAAAAATAATAACTCTTAGTAAAAAAACATAAGAAATTACATTGAAATAAAAAGTAAAGGAAATGTGAAAAAAGAGAGAAAGTAAAGCAAATCAAAAAAGAGAGACTATATGAGTTTAACATTTTCGTTTAGTCTAAATAATTTCAATGATAGGGGGAGTTAGTGTAATTTTTCAAATGTCCAGAACTAATATGTATTAAACCTAAATCTCAAGGGTGTAAGTGTAATTTACCCCCAAAAAAATTCTAAATCCAAAACCCAAACGGTTCCTAAGGCCAAGTTTGGCTATCTTAAATAAGTACACACTTTTTATCTTTTTTTTATGACATCATCTCTCTACTTTTTTACACATTTTTTTATTAAAAAAAAATATACTTACTTAGTTCATGCCAAACGACCCCTAAAATTTGAAATCCCCTCCACCGTCCGATAGCTTCTCCCCCCAAAATCTCTGTCACATTTTCAAAACCACAACACGTCACAGATTTCGCTTCCAACTTCAACTCTCACAGTTCTCTGCAAGGCCTAGTCCCAGACTCGCAATTCACGCCCCACCATTCCTAATTTCTACAAAAATCACAGAATCCTAAACGATGCCATTCATATCCGAGGCTGCGAGTGCCATAAAAAGCCGATTCGGGTTCCAAGACCAGTCTTCGGAGTCGATGCCGTCGGTTCGGAGCTCTCCTGACCTCTTGAAGTCGGCGTCCCACGATAATCTCTTCCAGTCCTCGGCGGTTAGGGTTTTCGGCGAGAGAGATGATCTCGGCGCTGGACCGGTGAACCAGAGCTTTGATTTGAGTGAAGATCCTTCTTTCTGGAAAGATCACAATGTTCAGGTACTGATTTGTAATTGTTTTTTATCTGCATTTTGTTTGGTTGTCGAGAAAATGTAGGTAGAGAAAACAAGTAAATGCCTCAAATTGAACTCTGAATTAGCATAATACAACTACTTAGCTTAGTTTAGGTCAGATTTTGTGTTTTTTATTTTTTTTATCAGTTGGATTTGTGAAATCATGATCAAGTAGTTAACTTTGGCAACCTTTGACTCTGCTGAGAATTTTTTTGGTGATAGCTATGAACCATGCAGTCACATTGGGCTTGAAATAGAAAGAATTAGGTCATGCAGTACGTTGATGGATAATTGCTGTGGTTTAGATAACTGAACATGTCCAAATTGGTCTTATACCTATTGATAAGATACTACTTGAAGTTCTGAGTTTTTCTGCTACTATTTAAGGAATTTGATTGACACAGAAACAGCTTGGTTCTAGCCTTTAAGAGGCAGAGATTTTTTAAGACACAGAACTTTATGGATTTGATGAATAAGTTCTTTGATTCATATGGTTCAGTATCCAGCAAGATTGAAACTGTACTAATCTGAAAATTCTGTAGCTCATTTAAAAATATTAGATATTTCATGGTTCAGAGAGTATATGACATAATGATAAGCTATATTCAATACTTATTTTAATTTGGTTTTGTTTTTATTTATCATTTTATTTTGTTCTATTTTTTGTTTATGATATGCAGGTTATAATAAGAGTACGTCCTCTGAGTAGTTCCGAGATATCACTACAGGGATATAGTAGATGTGTTAGACAAGATAGCTGCCAGTCAATTACTTGGACTGGGCATCCAGAATCACGTTTTACCTTTGATGTTGTTGCTGATGAGAACGTTAGCCAGGTATACTCTAATTACTATTATTTCTTTCTTTTTAGTTGTTAATAATCTTTGTTATGTCACTGACTTCATTTCAATGATTTATCAGGAGAAGCTATTTAAAGTGGCTGGGGTGCCAATGGTAGAAAATTGTGTGGGAGGCTACAATAGCTGCATGTTTGCCTATGGCCAAGTTAGTACCCTACCTGTGTTTTCATTCATAATTATTATTTTTTGTTTTCTTCTCACGGATAATGAACTGTTTATATGTTATGTTTCCTCTACTAAGTAGAGTTTAGAGAGTGGAAAGTTTTCTTCTGTTGGGGTAGTGCTGTTCTTTTGAGCTTATTCTTGTTGCTTTGGTTAGTTTTACTAGTGTACATTTCTGTAATTTTTGATGATGATTTTTTCCTATATTGACTTATTTGATAGGTTGCATTCTCACATGCCATATTTTTTGTTGTTTTGAATGTAGACTGGAAGTGGAAAGACTCACACAATGCTTGGGGACATTGAAGGGGGCACCCGACGACATAGTGTCAATTGTGGGATGACACCAAGAGTCTTTGAATACTTATTTTCAAGAATTCAAAAGGTATTTGCTGCTTGAATTAAAATTACTTCTAAGGTTTTAAATTGAAAGTGGCGAAAATCTTAATTTTAGGATTAGAAGAAACATTTTCTTTAACATGACCTCACTAACTCATTGTGGTCTTTTGGGTTGTCAAGCACCCCAAAAAAAAAAGAAGCGCAAAATTTTTTTTTTTTTGACATTGATATTGAAATGATTTAAGAACTTCTCCATTTGGGAAATTTTTTGCCTATAATATGTTCATCTGTAGTTATAAAGAAATATGGGCATTATGGGTCTATGGAATAGTTTTCTCGTGGTAGATGTATCTTCCCTTTTTTTCCCTAAAGTTTCTTCGATATGATTGTAGCTCTCCCTTAGTTATGAATCTGTAATAACTTGACTTTTATTTTTGTGCCAGGCCTTTAGATATGTACATAAGTGGCTTTTGCATAATGCAAAATTTTACTTTTTCCAACATTTATGTGCATGTTGAGCTTTTGGGACATGCATATTATTATCTAGTTCTTAAATTGAATTTCTTTTTCTTATTTTTGTGGATTAGTTCCTTCTATATCATGCCAAGATTCTAATGCAATGTTTCATGTTTTAATTGTGGTGTGGTAGGAAAAGGAGGCACGAAGGGAAGAAAAGTTAAAATTTACCTGTAAATGTTCTTTCTTAGAAATATATAATGAACAAATTCTTGATCTATTAGATCCATCCTCCACCAATTTACAGGTAATGATCACTAACATATTGAAATTTCCATCTATTTGTTTCTTATAATCTTTGTTCTATATATATATATATATATGTTTATTTTTTCTACATTGAATTGATTGCTCAAAAAGCTTTGATCTCAACGTTGTAGATAAGAGAAGACACCAAGAAAGGGGTTTATGTGGATAATCTCACTGAGGCTGAAGTTACATGCGCTCGAGATGTGATTCAACAACTTGTGCAAGTATGCAATTAGGTTCTTAATTTGCTTCATTGTTTGATTATATAATTGCTAACTACTTTTAATTGTTTTGTTGCATGATTTGAATTGGTAGATGTGGTCCAAGTTATTAAGCACAATGTAATGTGTTGGATGTAATAATCTCATATAAAATACAGTATGTAATTGTTTAGAACACAATAGATGAAACATACAATAAATTTATCATACTCAACAAAAACTATACAATATCTATAAAATGCGCTTTGCTTCAATGAAGCCTGTGCCTAGCCTTGCGCCTAGGCTCCAAGTGACTTTTCTGCCTCAGTGCACCTCTCGCCTTAAATAAAACCGGTATTCAGCTTTCCTTTTTAATTATTTTTTGTGTATGAACCTTGAATGCATTTTTTTTAGAAATATGAATATGTTAAGAAAGAAATCATCGACACATTTAGCATATACTCAATAAAAAATTATCTTCTATAAAGGAACATGATATGCAATTTTAATAGATTATTATTCAAAATGTAAACTTTTTGAAGCTTTGGACATCAATGAGAATGCTACATATCCTGATATAATATGTTCACAATTAACTTTGGTTTTCTCAAGTTGGCCCTCAAGTTTATAGAACTTAAAAAATATTCCTCAATTTCTTGTTTATTTTGCTTTGGTATTTGGTATCCATGCTTGCTTATGGATGATCCACATGTTGTTGGACTAACAATGTACTACATAACGGTCTTTTAAGGAACAACTGTTTCTTATCCTATATCCCACTAATGTAATCATGTTTCAGGGTGCAGCAAATAGGAAGGTAGCTGCGACTAATATGAATCATGCAAGTAGTCGTTCTCATAGTGTGTTTACATGTATCATTGAAAGTAAGGTGAGTAGCTCTCCTTTCTCTTTTTAATTTTCCTCCCAAGTCATTAAGTGTCTCGATGTTCTTGTTTTTCCAATGGTTTTTACTTGGGTGTTGGGATGCTAATTCAACGGTTCATGTTTAGTGGGAATCCCAGGGCGTAACTCATCATCGGTTTGCTCGGCTTAATCTTGTGGATTTAGCAGGTTCTGAAAGGTAACATCATTGGATGATGTATAGTGAATACCTATAAATGGAGCATTCCCGTTGACAACAAGATTGAATCATATACCATGGATTTAACATAGTTATTATCCTTTTCAAATCGTAGGCAAAAGAGTTCTGGTGCTGAAGGTGAACGTCTGAAGGAAGCTACAAATATCAACAAGTCTCTTTCAACATTGGGGTTTGTTCTTCTTTCTTTTTCCATCCGTACTGTTGTAAAGTTAATTAAGAAGTTCAACATCTATCCTTTTGAAGGGTCATCGTGGGATTCGAATCTGATTTATTGTTTTCCTTAAATTGATATTTTATTATTTTGGTTTTGGGATGTTCAGGCTCGTGATTATGAACCTTGTGAATATATCTAATGGAAAGTCACTCCATGTTCCTTACCGGGATTCAAAGCTTACATTTTTGCTTCAGGTGAATGATGCAACTTTTTTATGATGGATGAGTCATATACCAGTATCATATTTAGAAAATTATGTATAGTTTATTTTGAATCTATGCTGATGCTGCAAGGCTATTCCAGAAAAAAAATCATGTGTTGAGAGTTCGGAATACATGGTTCATGTACTGAGAGTTCGGATGATTGTATAGACAATACATGAGAGTGTAGAATAGATATTTTACATGTACTCAAGAGTTGTCATCTAGGACATAGGAAGTATTTCTATACAATAGGCTTAATTTTCTTTTAAACAAAGTATTTCTATATGATAGGCTTAATTTCCTTTTATTTTAATGCTCTTGAGTACATGTTGCTACTATTATGTGAAGTACTTGTAACTTCAAACTCAAACTATTTACAGGCCAAGTATAATGGATGTCATTTATGTAAAAAATTATATGCCCAACTCATGTAGAAGGATAGGGCATACAGTTTTGCAGTTCTTTTATTTTTGCTGATCAGAGATCCTCACTTACAAAAGTTAATTTATGAGATCGTTGAAAGATTCAATAGTTTACAATGTTCAGTGTTTCTTACTATTAAGTCACAAATTGTCCCAAAAGCTTAAGCTATTAGGAAAGGGACCCAACAATGTATATCGAGCTATCCAACACCGTCCCTCTCATGCAATCCCATCCCTCTTGTGCAATCCCGTCTTGCACGTGGAGATGCAAATAAACATACATAACAAATGTAAATGGAGAGACTTGAACCCAACAATCTATATCAAGCTAAGTTGTCCAACACCTACGATATATTAGCTTAGTTTGGAGAATGTTTGTCATGTGTAAAGCTTTGAGTTCTTCTTCTATTATATATATATTTTTTGATAAATAAGTATGTGGACTTTATTCAGAAAGTATCAAGATAATGCAAAGAATACAAAAATCCCAAAGGGACAAAAAACACCCTCTAACCTATAACCTCATCCAAAAACTCTAAAAAACCAAACGTATCCAGATCAATTTTCATTTCTAACCAACTATACAAAACAGTCATAAGATGACTCTCAAGCCAACTAATTGTGCGATGAATCTCCTGAAATGTGCGCCTGTTACGTTCCAACCAAACTAACCACATCAAATAAAATGGGACCAAATACCACATGCCACCATCGACGACCAACCCGAGCCCTGCACCAACTCCACAACATGTCCATCACCCGCCGCGGCTGAACTTAAACAATCCCAAAAAGAGAGAAAACAAAGCCCCACACACGGAATGCCACCGGGCAATGCAAGAACAAATGATCCACAGACTTTGCATCTGCACAACACATACAAAACCGATTTACTAGAATGTGACCACGCCGCATCAAGTTATCAATCGTGAGATTTCGACCCAAAGCCGCCGTCCACATAAAGAAAACCACGTTAGATGGAACTCCTGGCATCCAAACACTCCTCCAAGGAAAATCCCGTCTCACCTCCCCCACCATGCTCCAATAGAATAACGAGACCGAAAAACACCCCTTAGTCGCAACATTCCACCCCAAACATCCTCCCCCACCCCAATCACACCTAACCCATACAAGTAACCCCATAACTAACCATTTATGTCTTATCTTTTGTTTTCTTTTCAGGATTCACTAGGAGGGAATTCAAAAACAATTATAATTGCAAATATTAGCCCAGCTTGTTGGTTAGTGTTTCTTCTTTTATATTGCTTCTAGATTTCTGCTTCTAGCTCTGCCATCCATGCTTTGTGCTTCTTCTAGCTCTACCATCCACATAAATGGTTTCAAACCCTTTTCTTGATTTTTTTTTTGGCCCCAAGTTCTAAATCTGAATCTTACCTCCAGGAGAGCGAAGGCCAAGTTCATAGTTCTACAATTGTTATATTTCCTGAAACAGTTGTAAACTTCTACAAGCTGAGTCTTTTCAAATGACTGTAGTCTTACTAAAATTTTAAATTTGGCAAGTTGCACTCACAGCCATATATTTTGTTTAAACAATTTGTTCTTTTGTTTATTTTTGCAATAAATGGTTACTTTTATACAATTATTACTTGGGCCTGTTGCAGCTGTTCATTGGAGACTCTAAGCACATTGAAGTTTGCACAACGTGCTAAATTCATCAAGAACCATGTATGTAATCTTTACCTGGTCATTTTATATGCATTTGTTTTACTTATCATCTCAACATGGGATAGAAGTTTATCTGATTCTACAGATTGAGTACCTTTTTGAGTGTTAAACCTGATTTCACCACTCTTCACCACTCAAATATGTATCATTTGGGTCTGTTTTTCAATTTTTCTGCCTTCTAGTGGTTTTGAATGTCATTTGTGATTGTTTGTGACCTTTTGGCTTATAGGAGTTTGCTTATGTTTCTAGCTTTTCTGCCTTCTCAGCTCTTGTTTATTTTATTCTTCTATTTATTAAGATTATTTTTTAGAACTACTGCAAATGGAAAGCTTCTGTATTTGTCAGGCTATTGTGAATGAAGATGCTTCTGGCGACATCATTGCTATGCGGGTGCAGATTCAACAGCTTAAGGTATTATGCACATTCTGAATTTTTTGCCTTCATTTAATTTTTACAATGAGCTTCTACACTTCATTATATTATTTGATAATTGGTCTTATAAAGTGGCTTGTTTATAGAAGTTCATGTTTATCTAATATAGTAAGTTCAAAGCTGATTGTCCATTAGGTATAATAACATTGTAACAAAGCAACATTTAAAAAGTTTTCATTTGGAACTTAGATTAGATTTGGGATTTGTTTGATTTTTTTTTTCACAAGATGCTTACATTTTTGGTGGTTGGCATGTTAGTTACATGCCATTACCAGAATTTCATTTCATGTCATGTCATGTGCAATGCAGATTTGTTGCACATAGAGAGATGTTCATATAAGATTGAGTTTCATTCATTTGAAAATTTCTACATGCTCAAACTATTACAAATATGATTTTGTGTGATAATTTGATTAATTGGTCTCATGGTTGGTCACTCTAGATATAAGGTTTGTTATGATGTTACTTGGCTACCACTATATAATTTCTTACTGAGATGCAAATGCCCTACAATGATTATTGAAGATTTATTTCAAATGTCAGAATTGGTTGATTGCCATCCAGTAAGCTGTTCATATTGTATTTAGGAAATTGGCTTTTATGATCTTTCCTTTCCAAATTGCTAGACAGCAAATTCATTTCACTTTGAAATTATTTAATTTTTTTTTCTTTCTATTTTTTTATTTTTCTGGGAATAGAAATTCTTATACTAGCCATAAGAGTGTGAAGTAGATAGATTACTTCTAATCACTAATGTCAGCAATGAGGTTGATAAATAATTGCTGATATGAGATTTTAGCTCATAGCTTTTGTGCTAATTCGAAGATTTTTATTTATTTATGATCTGTGTTATCTCCAGAAAGAAGTATCTCGTTTGAGAGGTGTAGTCAATGGGGGAGAAAACCATGAAAGTGATGCTTGGACAGTATCCTTTCCAGGATCTCCAGGATCCTTTAAGTGGGAAGGGCTTCATGGATCACTCAGTCCACTTGTATCTGATAAAAGGGTGTCACATGTATGTACCGTTCTTTCTTAAGATTTGGGAAAATGTTTCTGACATGTGTTGGTTCTAATTCGTGGTCTTTAACTTTTTTCAGAAGAAAGAATATGAAGTTGCCCTTGTTGGTGCTTTTCGGAGGGAAAAGGATAAAGATATTGCATTGCAGACATTGGCTGCTGAAAATAAGGCAGCTCTGCAGTTGGTAAGTTCAAAAGAAAATTTCTTAAATCTGATAACTATTTGTTTCTAGACATCTGAGTCAATGCCCAAAGAATTTATCATGAGAACAGAACAGAGTCAATTGCTTTGAAATGATGAAATGTATGGGTGCTGCTTTCTTTAGGAGAAATAATTGTCTCATACCATGAAGTTGTTTACAGATGTGGATTATATAGCCACCTAATCCTTCCATGTTTCTATTTTTGCCAAACAGTATTCTGCACTAGAATTTGAAAATGTCCACTTTTTTGCTCAAAAAAAAAAGAGAAAAGGATATGGTGCTGGAAATACTTCTGAAAAACTGAAATTCTGGAAATTTTTTGGGGTGAATCAGGCCAAACAAAGAGAAGATGAGATACAAGGCTTAAAAATGCGATTGCGGTTTCGGGAAGCTGGAATAAAGAGGTTGGAGGCAGTTGCTTCTGGAAAGATGTCAGCTGAGACACACCTGTTAAAAGAAAAGGAGGAACATTTGAAGGAAATAGAGGTCCTACGTGCTCAGGTGGACCGGAACCAGGAAGTGACCAGATTTGCCATGGAAAATTTGAGGCTAAAAGAAGAAATCAGAAGGCATGTAACTGTTCCTGTCATGCATGCTCTTCACTTTGTGAATAAATACTATACAAGCATGAAATAAACTGCAAAAATACATATTTGTGGGATAATAAAAAAAAGTTCAGTCAGCAGCTGTCCTGATTTAAGCCAAGCATTGAGTTCGATAATGATTGAGAAGTGACGATGACTGCTCATAGAATAGAATTATAACTAGGGTTGGAACTAAAAATGTCTTTAACATCAGTAGGAAAGCCCTTTAAAGATTAACAATAAAAACATGATGTCAATCTTTCAGAAAGAGACAGGACAAAGTACTCTAGTTTTATCTGAAGAACACCAATAGGCTGTGTTATAAGTTTTTTCATTTATCCCATTAATTGTATTCTAGGATTATAAATCATTACTCTTTGCACAATTTATTTTGAAATTTTGAAAAGTTCATATTGTTATTGCTTATTCATGATCCAACATTGCAGATTGAAGTTCTTTTGTGAAGAAGGTGAATGGGAGAGGATGAATGAACAGATCATGATATTACAGAATAAGGTGGCTCCTGTATTCACACTTGCTTCTCATGTTCCTCGTTATGTATGCGAAACTTACCTTATAAGTTAACATGCAGTTGCTAGAAGCACTCGATTGGAAACTAATGCATGAATCAGATCCTTCAATTGTTCAGGTTGTTTCCAAGCATTTTTATATAATATGAAGATGAATAATTTTTTGCAGAGATTTATATTTTCTTTAGCAAAGCTTATGAATGTTTTATGCTATAGAAAGGCAATTCAGATCTGGCAACTGATATGCACAGTGATGGTAATCTACTGGTATCCTCCCAGGTAAGTCCTTCAAAGTTTCCGACGTGGCTAATTTCTTCGTATATGATTCTTTTTAAAACAAAATGGAGACAATAAATGTATCTTGAATTTTAGGCTGTATTGTCAGTTACAGATTATCAATGTCACTGCATCGTCTTTTAGCTGCAAAACTGCTTGACCCATACTTCTACCTGACTAAAGTACTCTTTTTTGATCCTCTCCTTCAAAACTCTGATTCACATGGAACCAAAAAACAAAAGGTTCATGTGAAAACCTGGACTTTGAGATGAAAACAGAAACTTAAGCATAGTTTTTAGAGTCTAATTTAATGGAAACAATGTGAAATTCTTTTTTCTTTTTCTTTTTAATCAGAATCCAGAAACTTTATTACAGAGCAAAATAACTTTAATTAATTGTGTGCTCATATACATCTAAAGAAAAAGAGTATTTAAATTACAGACTAAAGGAGGGACATATGCATATTTCTTACCTCCTTTGAACACACTATACAAAATAGGCCTTGATTTTAACAGTAGGCTCACCAATTGATCCATTTCCATTTAGGCTTCAGTTTTAGCTTGTTTTGTAATACATTCAAAAAAAAAAAAAAATTTGGACTAATATGGATTAATTGTTAAATTCAAGTACTTACAATTTCTTTCTTATGATGCATATGTTGAACAGGAGCCAGGATCACCTTGGCGTACTTCAATTAATGAGGAAAATGAGTTCCTCCGCATGCAGGTAATCTACTTCAAATCAAAGTTATGTGCTTTAATTCTAAAGCGTGGTTACACATAAACTTCGTTTACAAACATAGAGAGTTCTATTACAGGCTATTCAAAACCAATCAGAAATGGACGCACTTCACAAGAAACTAAACTTCTGCTTTGAAGAGAGAGATAAATTGGAAAGGTAATATTTTTGTTAAGACTGGATTCTTCCTATTCCTAACCAGTTTTAGCAATTGAAAGAATTCTGGAGATTTCCATATTTGGGTGATTATTTCTACCTTGTTTCCCCTACATATGGACTCTGGTACATGTGTTGGGTTTCGGAATGTGTATGCATTGGATTCATCTAATGCTCACGTTCAGGAACATTAGGGCACAACTATATTACATGTTTCTTAAATATTTTTATTTTTATTTTTACGGTAAAATGGTGCTTATGACCCTAACATAAAGCATGTTATATGTAAAATAGGAGCCTAATGCATACATATATATATATATAGTAAACTTGAATATTTACATAGTCATACTTGTTGGGTGCATGCCCATGTAGACATGTTGAATGCATATTCCGTACCTTCACCCTAGTGCCAAATGTTGAACAGGGAATTTCACAAATTTAGATGAGTTCATGGACATAGGTTTTCCCTTTATTTCTAACTGATGGTGCTTCTCTAATTAACAAACTAGAGAATAGTTATATGAAAAATCTTGGGTTCTTGTTCTTTAGTATATATTTTTTTCTTCCTTTCTATATTTATTATTATTATTATCTATATCTAATAGAAGCAATGACCTGTACTGTCTTTCTGGCCGCAATGTTCTCTAACTAAGAAACTTGCAGGCATGTTAGTGATTTGGTAACGGAGCTAGAAGCAGAGAGATCTTCCAAAGCACAGAAGGAAGAAGCACATAAATTGCAAATTGAGCTCCGTTCTCCAACTACCGATCAGATGGTCAACACTTTGAATGACCAGCTAGAGCTCAAGGCAATGGTTGATGCCATTGCAGCTGCAAGCCAAAGAGAAGCAGAAGCTCACGAAACAGCGATTATCTTGTCCAAAGAAAATGATGAATTGCGGATAAAGCTTAAGGTCTTAATCGAGGATAACAATAAACTGATAGAAATGTATGAAGGAGCAGTTTCAGAAAACACCGATAAAAGTGGGGATAAAGTTCAGAATTGTCAAGAATACAACACTGATGATCACATCAATAATTTCGACAGATTTGCTGAAAAGAAGTTAGGGGTAAAAATGGAAGGTGAAAACTTAGAACATCAACTTACTGAAATGCATGAAGAGAATGAGAAATTAATGGTTTTGTATGAGAAAGCCATGCAAGAGAGGGATGAATTTAAAAGAATGTTTTCTTCTGAAGGAGACATTGTTCAAACTAAAGGAGAACTTCATTGCTCCGAAAAGCTTGTTGAAGTGGATGAAGTGAAATGTCACAAGGCAAACGAATATCTTGTTTCTCGAGAGGCAAAACCTTTAAGAGAGGAAACTCGTTTATTTGGATCATACGTGCAGGATGGAGGAGAAAGTCTCGAGTTAGAGAGAACTGCTGGATCTGTTGAAGAAGAAGCTTTATTGGAGGGAGTGAATTCCTCAAAATTAAATATACAGGATAATTCCTGCCATTGTTCTGGAAATTCCCAAGAAAATAATTTTCTTGAGTTAGATGAGCCTCCGAGTCGAGATGGTGGGTTAACAAAGGAAATTGGTTTTCTTAGTTTGGACACACAAGATGGGTCCATCCCAGATACAGAGAATCAGATTGATACTGAAAATGATTCTATCATGGAAAACAACTCATTGAATCTCACTATGGTAAAGGTTTCTGAAGATTTGGATTTGGTTAGAATGAAGCTGCACAGAGCACAAGAGAAGCTTTTAAATTCTGTTGAAACTGTCAGTTTATTTGGGTCGCTTGAGAAGGCAATCACTGAGGTTGATACTCTCGAGAGAAAAATTCAAGCAGTGGAAGTTGCCATTCAGATGAAGCAGCAAGAGTATGCGTGCCTCAAACTCCTTTCTTGTGAGATAGACGAAAGACGAGCTCTAATTGATAGAAAATTAATGGCTCTCAAATACTCATTATCAAACTTTTCTTCGTCAGTTGGTTATTTTGAACAGCGGGAAGTTCAAGCAAGGGTAAGGTTCAATGCTTCATTGTCTTACGTGGATCGAAAGAAAGAGGAACTAGCCTGCCTTGAAGCCTGTAAGAATGAAATTGAGGGTGGTCAGAGAAAATTTCAACGACTTGAAGTTGAAATAACAAACAACATTGCACAATTGATTTCAAAAATGGAGGAAGAAAATCAAAGGCTAGAGAATGAAAAGGTTCTTTTTGCCATCGATAATCTTGAGAAAAAAGACATTCACCCTTCCCAAAGAATTTGGCATTTGAGTGGTAAAGCCACTGAGTTACTCAAGTCTGAGGAAGAGAAAACCAAGACACAAACCGAGATCAAGCAAGCACGAGAAAAGCTTGTAATCCTGAGAAAGGAAAGTGAAGATTTGAAAAAGAAAATTTTGAAGGTGGAGAATGAAATGCAAATTGTTCAAACAGAGATACAAAAAGGATTGAAGTCCGTGGAGGAGATGGAGCACAAGATTCAATCTGTCGTTCAAGACAAAGAGACGATATTGGAGATGAAAGAGAATGGAAGCATCGAAGTTGAAAATATGATTCTTGAATACCACCAACATACATTTGAAGCAGAGTTGAAGGAGGAAGAGATGAAGATCTTGGACGAAGAATTGCATATTGAATTTGACCGAGTAAGAGAGTTGCAGAAAGCGAAAGTTGCAGCAATTGAGAAAAAGAGCCAACTATTGGGAGTCATAAGGTGTGATTCATGCTTGGAAGAGATCCAAGATATTAGATTGTCAGTTATGGAGTTGTTGGAGTCATTGTTTTGAGACGACAGTTAAATAAGTCTTTTGTTTAACTGTCACCACACTATGAACACTATGTTGTTAAGATTGACAGTGATTTATGAGCTTTAATTAATGCAATCTCATTCGTGCAATCTCCTTAATTTATATGACTATTTTACATTTATTGAATATATAATGGAGATCCCATTACTCTTTTTCAATTTGATTTTTCTTGCAACATCAAAGAAGGAAAAAAAAATTGTATTGTAACCCTGCTTCTATATACTTAAGCCTAACTGTTTTTAGATCACGTTAAAGAACGTGTCCAAATCACACTTTCAAGGGCATTTTTTTTTTTTTTGGCATTGTTCAGCTGCTTAATACTATTTTAACGGGGATTTTTTTTTAAGGTCTCTAATATTAAGATTTTATATCATAAAGGACACTTAATATTTTCATAATGTTTAAAGTCCCTCAACATTGATACAGAGAAAATTTAATCCAGAGAATATTTCTGGATACATCATAGAGAAAATTCCGAATTTCTCTGGATACATCACAGAAAAAATTTCAAATTTCTCTGGACATATCACAGAGAAAATTCCAAATAGGGCAAAGAAAATTGAAATTTCACTGGATTCAAACTCTTTTAACATATATTGCAAATAAGTTAGAATCTTTCAAACCCCAAACATCTGTAATCTCATGATGAGTTTAAAATTTACTCAAAACCAAACTATTGCACATCATGGTTGGTGAGCATTGAAACCAAGAAATATATACAAACAAACTATAGATTTCCAAACTAGAGAATTTCTCTGGTCCAAACCAGAGAAATTCAATCAAAAATTCAATCCACACCAGAGAAAATTTGACTTCATAGAGAAAATCTTACCAGAATTTCTTTAGACTCACTTCAACCTAGAGAAATTCACAAAACCCCAGAAAAAATTTCTCTGAATTTTTGTAGAACTTTTTAGTTCATAAATTTGTGGGTCATTTGATTAATGGTGAATATTGCAGTGGGTAGTTCCAGTCTTGTTCAAATATGATTTTTGGTTTGTTTTAACTTATTAACAGCTGTTGGAATAAATTTATGTGATGACTGGTTTTTGAAGATCCATTCGAGAATTTCTCTAGATTTTATAAAGTAATGTGTCTTTACGATCGAGAGAAAATTAGTTAAAATGAACCCAGAGAAATTTGAATTTGAATCTAGAGAAAATTGGTCAAAATGAATCCAGAGAAATTTGAATTTTCTCTGGGTTGAACCTAGAGAAATTCTTTGGAAAGTCCAGAATTTCTTTGGAGAGAATTTCTCTCAAATTTCCAAAAGCAATTTTATCTCAAACACAAGAATTCAATAACAAAAACACTAAAATCAAACTCTATTCACTCACAAATTCTCATATGATCAAATTCAAAAAATAGAGACAAAGAGAGACTAACTAGAACTTCTTTGCAATTTCTCACCTCCATTGAAGAACTTCACAGTGGAATACCTCAAATAACACCTAGCATTCAACCCTCTACCTTCCCTACTAGGTTACCTCACCCGCCACCTTCTCCAAACACTCTCTACACCCACCACTACTCACATTCCTCCAACACTGCGCCAATCCATAAACCCCTTTCCCTTCCCTCACCGCAAATCCTCCACTAACCATCGTTTCTTGAATCATATCACTAATCACCTCCCCAACCCTACTCTCAAAACCCAAGTCCCTTACAACATCAGTAGCACACTTTACAGTGTCTAGAGTTGAATCGACACTTTGATTGAAGAAATCAAAGCTCTCGTATCGTAAAAAATAGCCATCAAAGTAGATTCGAGCTGAGATTGAGGGGAGACAATGGGGGATACGGGTCTGACTCGCAGCGAAACAGATGAGATAGTCGGTGTGAGAGAGGTCTTTGAAGCATTGGAATAGGCCGAAAATGGTTGAATTGATAACAACACGCCGGAGACCATAATGTTCACATAGCCCGTGTGGGTGAACCCAAACTTCTCGAAGAAGATCATAGGGCAGTCGTCCGCAATGATTTTTAGGTTGTTGATTTCGCCGATGTTCCCGAAGACGAGGAGGGAGATCAGGGCGGCCGCGAGGATCGCCACAAAGTGTGTTTCGACATTTTTCTAGAGAGAGAGAGAGAGAGAGAGAGAGAGAGAGAGAGAGAGAGATCGTGACAATTAAAGGGTCATTGTCATGACCCAAACCCGCCCCTATAGGTTTAGCATCGTAACCGGCCAGTAATCCTTAGATTATCAAAGGCCTCATAACATGATAATGTATAATTAGGGACTACAGAAGTAAATACAGAAAATATACATAGTCTATCGAGCTGTGAAGATATACATGAGACAGATAATCTTAGACTTTTATAAACATATGAGTGACGTCAAAAGATACAGTATTTACACGTCACTTAATGTACATAAAAACAGATAAACTTGTTCAGAGAGCAAAATAACAAAATCTTATACAATCATAATAACATAGCCACTAGACTTGACTTAATCTGAAACCTCATCGGGAGGCGCAAAGGTAGGTTGACATAAACTAAGACACTAAGTCCTCAACTCTGAGCCTGGTCATGTGCCTGATCATTTGCATACATAATATAAATAGTGAGAGGGAGCCCAGTGAATAATAACAGAGTAAATGGTTAAATAAATGATATCCCATGACTAAGCTAGTTCACATTCGTATTCTTATTCAAATCATATACATAATTCAGAATTCATGCTTGATCATATATGGTTTATCCATTAGCGCTAATAGATTATATACGGAGTATCATAGATTATACTTGTCAGTTTCATAAAGGAACCTCTGGCCGGGTACAGATAACTTGTCAGTTCCATAAAGGAACCTCCAGCCGGGTGCAGATAACTTGTCAGTTCCATAAGGAACCTTCGGTCCGGGAACAGATAACATACTTATCATAAATACTTATCAAAAATTAGACAATCATTCATAACATTTCATAAAACATATCTTATTCATAAATAGCAAATAATTTAACTTGAACATAACTTTACTAAGTTATTACTCACAAATAACCAGTGGCTCCAAATAGATGAATAGAGTAGGCAATTTGCTTAACTTGAGATGCGTGACCTATATAACATGATAGATACATACATTGGAACACATGCTCGGATTATACATAAATTATTTCATTTGTTCTTAGTGTGTTCCTAGCCTCTATCCTCATCATAGTGTCTTGATATTGGCCTAGGAATGCCTAGGATGGAATGAGAATGCAAAAATTGTACTTGAAAACATTTTACAAAACTTGCTGAAAATAGGGTCTGCCCTCGAGCGTGGCTTTCTTCGCTCAAGTGGACATGCAAAATGTGAGGGTCCGCTCGAGCGCAACTTTCTTCGCTCGAGCGGTTTGTAAACTTTGAAAAAGCACTGGTTGCTTGTTTTTCCCGTTCAACGCTCGCTTGACACCCGCTCGAGCGTGAGAGACATGCCCTCGCTCGAGCATAACTGTTGTTGTTCGAGCGTGCTACAAAACGTAAGAACTTCTAGGAGCATGCATTTCACGCTCGAGCCAGTCCTTGGTCGCTCGAGCGGAAATGTGAGACACAGAGTGGTCGCTCGAGCGTGGAAACAGAATTCTCGAATTTCTAGAATTGCTTCCAAGCTTCAAAACTCAATCTTAAGCATCAAAGCTCGATTTTTCTAGGCCAAAACTTGAGGGAACACTTAGAAACTCATAAAACATCATGAATTAAGGATTATTTCAAGAAATCATGGCTCAATAGCTTGCCAATTGTGCAAAAATTCAACTTAAAATTTTATGAATGTTCCATGAACATGACATGCATGAATTTCTTTGAACTTAATCTTCGCAAAACATGATCAAATGCTACAAAACAACATGAAACTTGATTTCCCAAAATTAAGGTGAATTCAAGACATGCATGAGAGAATTATTAGAAATTAAACTCAAAATATGAGAAAAAATGCATGCACGCATGGTATGGCTCAATACTCTTCATTTCTAACCCAATTCTTACATTAATCAACTCAAATCTCTAGAGTTCATGTCTTGCACTTCATAGTTGTCCAAACAAAGGGTTGGATTCTTACTTAAACTTGTCAAGATGAGAGCTAGAAGTTTGATCCTTGAGTTCCTAAGTCTAAATTCACAAGTTCTCTAGCAATCTCAATAATTTGAGATCAACTTCTCTTCTTTCTCCCTCTCTCATGTTGGTTGTGTGTGTGGGAGCTCAAAATGTGTTGACATGAGGGAAAAGAGTGAGTAGGAGCACACAAGAAGCCTTATATAGGCTTGTCTAATGGTAGATAATTAAAACTAATCAAATGAGCCATTAAATTAATCTAATTTAATCGTTCTAAATCGAATTTCAATTGGATTTACCATAAAATTCTAAAAATTCTAAATAATACGCAAATCAAGTTAATTTCTGAATCGGATGTCGATAAGGCTTTCAATTCGCAAACTGAATAAAAACATGAACAAATCTTTCTACGTTAAACAGATATAAACACAAATAGAGCAACACATGGTACGAATTTTCACGTCAATTTCTTGTTAGGCATGATTAAACATGGATTAACATTAATTATGAGTCAGGGTTGTTACAATCATTGTAAGCATGACAGAATGAGAGAGAGTCAAATTTCTCTGATATGATATGCAGGTGTGGGTTTAGGGACCTTAGACATCAAAAAATAAAATTGTGGATCTCTTCAATTATTAAAAATATGAGAGGGACCTTAGACTAATTTTTCTTATTTTAACATTGTATTATTGCATACCAATAATAAACAATTACTTGAAAAAATATTTTTTTAAAAAAGGATTTGTCTCCTCTCCAATCCGGACTAGAGGGCACTATTGTGGGCCTTGATTTTTGCTTATTTTGATGATCTAAACGGTTTAATGTATATAAATTGTCGAGTATATTATCCGTGCAAAAAATCACATTGATTAGATATTGATAAACATTTCATTAGACTAAATTTCTGTCATTGGCAAATATAATTTTCAAAAAAATTATGACAAAAATGTATTATGATCAAGTGACTATCGAGATTCGATTATTTATTTTTTTTGTAAAAATGATGTATTAGATAGACAATATGAATTAAACGATTTGAATAATCAAGATAAGTCTAGATTAAGGCTCAAAATAACGCAACAATACCCTCAAATCTAATCCAATAAGGAATAAGAAGCCAACTCCTTTAAAAAAAAAAAAAAGATTTGTAAGCATGTTTTATGGTGATTTAAAAGCAAATTAAACCATACATCATTTGTTTAATTTTTAGAGGATAAATTACACTTGCACTCCTAAGGATTGAATTTAATACATATCACCTTGATGTTTGGAAAATTATACAAACCCTCCTATCATTGTAATTGTTTAGATGGAATGAAAATATTAAATTATGCACTCTCTCTCTTCTAGCTTTGTTTTACTTCTTATATTTTTTTTTCCTTTCCTTTGCTTTACTTTTTTTTTTAAATGTAATTTTCTCTATTTTTTTACCAGGAATTGTTGTCTTTTATATAAGTAGGGAGTTTGTAAAATGAAACTATTAATCACAAAGTGAAAATATAATTTTACAAAACGTTAAGAAATGGGAGGTAATCGGATTGAACCTCAAGATGCTAGGCCATCTCCAATGGTTCACCAGAATCATCATCAAATTTGAATTTGGAGAAAAATGGCACCTTTTTTTTTTTTTTTGACTCCAACAGTTTCATCAAACCTGTATTAAATTGAGAACATCTCAAATCTTTCACCAAACTAAGGATATCTTGCACCTTTCAGCAATTTACTATGTATAGCCGTTAAGTGTAGATCCACCAGACGACCGGCTGGACATCCTCTCAGATGACCACTTAAGGCATAATTTGTGAAAAATTTACATTAACTGATCGACCGCCTGGCCGACTACCTCTCTCTCTGGACCCCAAATCCCATCTGAGTTACGGTATCCTCAATCTTCTCAAGCAATTATTTGGGGAACAGTTGAATGCAAACCGAATCCTTCTTTCCGAAACATCCTAAAATAAGTCAAAAACAAAGGCTTTGTTTGGTTAAACTCTCAAAACACAATTTTTGAAAATTTTTTTCAAAATTTTGTTTGGTTGAAAATTTTTTGAAATTTTTTTCCAAAATCACTTTCTCTCTCCTATACATTAATCAATCACTTTTTCTTTCACACACATGTACTCAACTACAACAAAATATCAAATCATCCCAAACTCCCATACTCCAAAACTATTTCTAAAATTATAACCAAACAAACTAAAAAAATATTCTAAACTTTTTCCCTGAGATTTTTTTTTTAAAATTTATCTCCCAAAACCAAACCAAACACATCCTTTTGTTTAGATTTTGGAATAAAATTTGCTGGCATAAGGATATTGATAATGAATTACAAGCTAATAAGTTATTTTTATTTTTATTTTATTATTTATTTATTTATTATAAGTTTTTTTTTTTTTCTTTTATTTTTATTTTATTTTTTATTTATTTATTTTTTTTGAAAACAAACAAGGATCACAACCAAAATAAAACAAACTAGGCCAACCTTGATAAAGCAATAAGAGCCAAAAGAGGGAAAGATATTCAGCCTAGTGGGGGGGCATTCCTTAGAGAAGCCTGGGTCACCCAATGCACTGCTTTGTTTGCTGCTCTAGGACTCCAAGAAAGCAGCAAATTCAAACGATGAGCAAGCTGTTTGATGTCGAAAAAAAGTAGCACCACAGTCCCATGGAGGATCAAGTTCAGATACACTGAGGCGAATAACAGATTTGTTATCTCCTTCAATTTCCACCCCTGCAAGGTTGCGAGCGAGAGCTAATTGACATGCTAACCGACATGCGAGGGCCTCACCTTGGAGAGAAGAAGAACACACAGTCTTTTTGACCACACCATCCAGCAACCTACCATTCGAATCCCAAAGAATGGCAGCAATTGAAGCACGATTTGAGCCGTTTTGGATAGCCACATCACAATTTATCTTAAACTTTCCAGCAGCTGGACGTCTCCAATTATCTTCCCTTTGATGATGGCTTCTGAATCTGTGATTGTGATCAGTCCCTTGCGAGATGCTCCTTGCATCAAATTCCTTTTTTGCCATCCCTGCTCGATGCAATGTGGAGAGCGGATCAACTGGTTTTTGAGAGAGAACAAATTCATTGCGTTTTTTCCAAACAAACCAACCAATCCAGGCAATTGAACTGAAGAAAAGATTACACTCCTTGCTGTCAGTGAAATACTCCATCATCTTGCACGACCACTTCAAAATTGATTGAGTGTCTGACCAAGAAACTTTGTAACCAAACTCACACCCGAACCACACCGGTCTTACCCAATCACACTCAAATAAGAGATGCTCAACAGATTCCAGCTGCTTGTTGCAAATAGGGCAATAACCTAACTTAGCACATTTTCGTTTGAACAAATTTACCTTCGTAGCTAGCCCATTCTTACACACTCTCCACCAAAAATGACGGATTTTTGAAGGGATAGTAAGAGACCAAATGAATTTCCAAAAGTTCTTAGGAAGCTGGAAAGAGGAAGACGGTCTTTGAATTAGCTCCCTTTCTTTCTCTTTGAAAGCAACATGATAACCCGACTTCACCGAATAAGAGCCCTTAGATTCGAACTGCCAAACCAAAGTATCCTCCATATTCTCTTCCGAAATTGGAATAGTACAGATGGCTTCAATTTCCTTCGCCGAAACTAAATTGTTAAGGGAATCAACTTTCCAGCTCGTGTACTGGATCAATCACATCCACCACTCTAGATGCTTCATAATTAGCTGGTCCTGGAGAACAAATTTTAAACCCAAGAATAGAAGGAATCCACTTGTCATCCCAAAATGAAACAGAAGCCCCATTGTTGACTTGCCATCTAACTCCTTCAAGCAAAATACTCCTTTCATGAATAATACTAGTCCACGCCCAGGAGGCTCGCCTTCCTCTCGAAGCATTAACGAAATTTGAATGGGGAAAATAAATACCTTTTAACATCCTGGCACAGTATGAGTTAGGGAACTTCATTAACCTCCAACCTTGGCGAGCAAGGAGGGCCATGTTAAACGCATTAAAATCTCAAAAACCCAGGCCTCCATGGAATTTGGATAAAGCCAGCTGTTGGGGTTGGCACCTCTTTCTCGAAGAAGCCAGAGAGATCGAGGCATGAGGACATTCCAATAAGTTGAAGAGCGTTGATAAGGGTAGGTGAATCTAGATTTTTCTTTGCTTCAGATGGCTGCTTTACACCGTAAGAGTTTGGCACAAAATCACTATATAAAAATAGCCAAACAAGGATTGAAAAACAAAGGGAAATGGTATATCACTCTCAAGTTCATTCGTACCATGTTTGTGTCCGCATGCATTCTCAAGGCTTCATTCTTTATGTGTGCATTTTCTTCATCATCATGAGAATCTTGTTTGAACCATTCGTCTCCTTTAATCTCTGCCATTGTTATCCGAGTAGCAGGGTTGGAAATATTTTTCATCATTATATTTTATTTTCCTTACATTTCCTTTTAACTCATTTTTCTCAAGAAATTTTTCTAGTAAATTTTCCTTGCAACTTAATGGAATTGCTTAAATCTAGCAAAACAAATCAAAAAACATACCTCATTTCTCAAGCTATCGTTCATATCAATTTATTCTCTTGATTAAAAAATGTCACATTTTGTGAACTTAATCTGATGGCTTGCAGCATCTTGTTGCAGAATTTTTATATTTCATTTGCTTTGACAATTGCAAATTCACTGTTAAAATGACTAATATTAAAGAGAGAAATTCGTATTTTTTAGTGAAAGAGTAATTTACTCATTTTTAAATAAAAATACTTAAAAGGGTTTAAAAGGCCTTCAAAACATTTTAAAGTAACCGATGCTTTAAATTTGTGTACCCAAAACAAACACATACATACACGTAAATGTATATATACATTGGTTGCATATGCCAGTATTCAAATTTAGATGCTCTCTCAATCGAAATCTAAAAAACCCAATCAAAAAATTCTCTCTGATTCTCGAAATTGTCTGTTTCCTCGAATTCAAACCGTGGTTCTTCGTTCGAACATACGAAGATCTATTGCAAATTTGCAATTCAATAGTTGTTGTTGATCATCGATTGCGTGAAAGCGCTTCGAGAATGTTCAACGGAATGATGGATCCTGAATTGATGAGACTCGCCCAGGAGCAGATGAGTCGCATGTCGCCCGCTGAGATGGCCAGGATTCAACAACAGGTCACCCTCTTTTGACCTCCTTTCTCTGTGTTCGATTCAATTATGTTCGTAAATTCAAGAGTTTGGGAAAACCCATCTGCAATTGAATCTAATTTTGATAAATTAAATGTCTGATGTTTCTGGGTATGTTAATATTCGTTATAATTTGAATATATGTAGTTTTTTTTTTTTTGGTGGCTTATTTGGTTGTTTTTCAGGTTAGATTTGAAATTGGTTCAAATTGAATGACTAAAATCATGAATACTATCTTTCTTTTCCTTTTTTAGCTTTTCATATCGTAAAAGTCGAGCGAGTAGTAGGTTTTCAAAGCTTGGTTTGAAAACTCAACGTGCATGAAAATATGTTCAAGCTTAATTTGTTTACCATTTGAGTCGATTTGGTTCAAATGACTTATTTTTTTCATAGTGCTTATAATCAACTCAGGCCGAATAGTAGAGTGATCAAGCTTAGCTTGATAACTTAACAAAATATAAAATATGTTTAGGTTTGGCTTGTTTACATTACAAGTTGATATAAAACAAGCTTTTTAACCAAAATCGAGTTCGGGTAGCTTGGTTCATTTTACAGCCTATTAGCGTTCTATTTTTTCTAGTGTAGCGCTAACTTTTTCATGCGGGATAAGGCCCCCTACCAGAGTAATTATCCTGTCTTCTGAGAATTTATATTGGCGGTGTGCCTAACCAATAGTAGGGGCTAGAATAATTACATGGCCCTAAAAACAAGAAAATAGTAGAGAAATCACAAGATACAATTGGATGGGCACACGGCCACATGGTCTTCCTGACCCATGTGATAATTTATGCCCTTCCAGACCCACACTAGCTTCGTGCACTGAGACTGCTCGTTTAGTTATAATTTCCACACAACTATTGATCCTGTGTGTTCAATTTGAATTGCACTTTGTTTTTGATGGTCATGTTGCACCATTGACATTTCAGATGATGTCTAATCCTGACTTGATGAGAATGGCTACTGAAAGCATGAAAAACATGAGGCCTGAAGACTTGAGGAATGCTGCTGAACAGTTGAAGCATACTCGTCCAGAGGAGATGGCTGAGATCGGTGAGAAGATGGCTAATGCATCCCCTGAAGAGATAGCTGCAATGCATGCACGTGCTGATGCACAAATCACTTATGAAATAACCTCAACTCAGATGCTGAAGAAACAGGTAAGCCATTGCCATCTCGAAAATTCCCCATCTTTTTCTGAAGCTTATAAATTCATACACAACAGAATCCTACAGGCATCCTTTATATGCTGGTGAAGAAACTGTGTTTGTGCCCAATGATAGTTTTGTTTAAATGGAACGGTGAGATGTTATCAATTTGTCTGATTGAGTAATGTTAGGTTGCTTAAATTTTCTTAATGTCTTATTTGTAGATTGATATGAACTTGTAGTTTCTTGAGACTATTAATCAGGATTTATAACTGCTATTTTTCTACTCTTTGAGTATCTTCTCATTTAATCTTCTTTCTGAACCAAAGCACATAAATTAGCAAGGTTAGTACACCAAGAACTAAACAACAACAAAAAAAAAAAAGAAAAAAAAAAAAGGAAGAAGAAAGAAAAAATCTTGAAATTGGATTTTTCGAAATAAAGCAACAAGTGCTTATCTAAATCGAGTGTCCTCCAAATCTCCTTCTGCACCTTCCCTTGCAGTTTTCGCTCACATATTTATCACATGATCAGAGAGGCTCAGAAGTCATATTGCTATAGTTACAGTAAATACATCTGTTTAAGAGATGTATTGTCATCTAGCCATATACCATGTATTTATGGATTCATTCTCATTATGGCAGGGGAATGAGCTTCACAGCCAGGGCAGGTATAATGATGCATTGCAGAAATACTTGCTTGTAAGTGTAGCTTTTGATCTGTTTCCATTTATACATTTCATGTGTGAATCCACTTAGTGTATGCATCTTAAAGTTCTGCAATAATGAATTCTTATTTCCTTTTGTTCTTCTTTCTTCCCTTGTTCTTAAACATATTTAGGCAAAGAAGAACCTGAAAGGTATTCCATCCTCCAACGGAAGATCACTCTTGTTGGCATGCTCTCTGAACATGATGTCGTGTTACTTGAAAACAATGCAGTATGATGAGTGCATAAAAGAAGGAACCGAGGTATGGGCAAGTCAGTTTGAGTGATTTTGTCAGATCACGATTCTCAAAACATGCTGCGAACTAGGGTTTTAGTGGCAAATAACGAGTAGTTAAATTCATTGTTATGTTATCATAGGCTTAGGAAGAGGAAAACAATAAGCTCTCCCCACTCTCCTCCTTTCCTTTATTGCCTATATACTTTCTGCATATCTCGGTGGAGAGAGAAAAATGTTAATGTTATCATTATTTTTTGCTTGAGCATTGGATGCGTGTCATTTTTGAGGCTCAGTACAATTGTTTTGCATTGTTGAAGAAGGAAAAGTAATCAATTACATGTTTTTTATGATTACAGGTCTTGGCATATGACACAAAGAATGTCAAAGCTCTTTACCGCAGGGGTCAAGCTTATAAAGAATTAGGACAATTAGAAGTGAGCATCCATACATTCCAGTGACTGTTTGCAGTGTTCGCAGACTTCTGCTTCTTTATGTTGTTATGCAGTTATCTGCATATCTGTTTGTCTTATCTAGTAAATTTTGTCCAATATGCTAGAATGCAGTCTCTGATTTGAGTAAAGCACATGAAGTTTCCCGCGATGATGAAACTATCGCAGACGTCTTAAGGTATTTAAATTTTATGTACGTTGGGTCTTTTGGGTGAGCCATATTCATAAAACTTCTTTGGTAGATTTCTCTTATAATCCTTCATGGACTGTTCTCGCCTTCTTTTTTCCCTTTTTGCTTGTTTATCAGGCAGTAACGGCCTTGCCCTCTTGAGTTAAAGAGTGGATTATTAAGTGTGTGGTTGTTGTCCCTTTTATTTATGCTTGTTTTTAAAGCGTATCAAGCCTCTTATTTTTTTTTTCTTTTCTATATACATATTTTTTGTTCTGCTTGTGCCCAAATCTGATTTGTGCGCTTTTACTTTATTCATACTCTGTAGTACCTTATTTGTATTCTATACCTCATTGCCTTTCCTTGTTCAGTCCAGTGTTATACTGTTGACTGTGATAGCGAGTAAGAGACTAGGTGTTCCATTTGGCATGTAGTGGTAATGGCTGTCAATTGATGCAGGGATGCCAAGGAAAGATTGGTGACAGAAGGTGGTGGCAATACATCAAGTGGTATGTTGCTTTTTCATTCATTCAAGCTTTTCCCAGTACATAATAATTATGAAACCTCCAACAAATCCGTGTTTCATTTCTTGTAGTTTTACTGGTCTTGTTATCTTTCTGTTTTCAATAGGATTGGTTATTGAAGAAATAACTGAAGAAGAGCAGTCTGTGTCATCAGAAAATTGTGAAAGTTCAGCTAAAGAATATTTGGTGTCACAACCGCAAGAAACCAGTGGCTGCTCAAAGAGTCAGCCAGAGAGTAACACTGAGGCTCCTTCAACTAATTCAGAGTGTGTTAACTCTTTAAAAGATGATCCAGAAGCTATCAGGTTTGTTTGCATTAATCAAAAAATTGTTCAAGGGCCATTTTTGCTTTTGTCCAAGTCAAGGTTGTCAAAATCGAGATCCTACCTTGCATCGTTGGATAGGCTTAGAGGATTGGATTAAGAATTGTAAGATACTAATGTGAAAAGAAAAATTGCATAATAATAATTTTTCTATGAATAAACTTTTCTTAAAAGTACACCCAAAATAAATCACAATGGGGGTTGAATAGGCCAAACCTTAGGGCCATGTTTGTTTGGATAGACATGAGCTTGGGATTGGACTAATAATTCAATAAAATTATCAATCCGATGTTTGGTTAAACAACTGAAGTACGGACTAACAATCCATCCGGATATGGTATCCCACATATGATGGACTATTCAATCCAGAGAGGGGGGTGGGATATAAATTGGAGGACTAAGCCAAAGTCTGGATTATTAGTCCCTCCTTATAATCCTAACTCAATCCAAATACAGGATAAGGATAAGATACATAATCCAAAGGGATTCGTAGTCTTAGGAATATTAGTCATGGGAATGTTAATCCAACCTAATCCAGTCTGCCCAAGCAAACATGGCCTAGGGGTATTATTACCAATTAAAATTTCAAATTCATCAGTTAAACTCATTTCAATTCAATTTGCCAAGTTGAATATATCAATCAATCACAATGGCATTTCCAGACTAGGTATATCCATGGTTTTCAAAACTCAATTGCAATGATTTTTATGTTGCCATTCCAACTTAGATGTTCTAGGAAGACTAAATTTGGTATATTTTAAGCAACTCTAATAAGTTGTCTTGCATTTTGTTCACCTCTTCCACTTCTTTTTTGCTAAGTTTTTCTTTGCATTATGTCAAATTGTTGAGTTATACCATAAAGAAATTTTACCCATCCTAATTGTCCATATTTTGGGGTGTTTTTTGTAGATCCTTCCAAAATTTCATGTCTCATGCTGATCCTGAAACTCTTGCTGCTGTGAGTGGTGGAAAGGCTGATGGGGTATCACCTGATATGATGAAGACTGCCTCAAATATGATCGGCAAGATGTCTCCCGCAGAACTTCATAGAATGTTCCAGTTAGCTTCCTCCTTCCAGGGGGAGAATCCATATCTTAAGAGAGGTTCTTCGGATTCTGATTTCAACAGCTTCACACCTGGCCGAGTTCCCACTGATGCGGCACCTGACATGCTCAAAATGGCAAGTGATATGATGAGTAATATGTCAGCAGAAGATCTTCAAAACATGTTTCAAATGGCTTCATCATTGAAAGGGAAAGATTCTAATGGACTTGGATCAGATACTAAATCAAAACCTGCTGAAGATCGGGAAACTTTTGCAGTTAAGGGAGATCATGCTGGCGAAAGTAGTTCTTCTCATGGATCGTTTTCAAATTCCAGAACTACCCGTCAATCAAGCTTCCTCAACCCAACTGCTGATGTGCAAGAACAAATGAAAAACCAAATGAAAGATCCAGCCATGCGGCAGGTATTTGATCTCTGTACACTTGCATTTATGCCTGCACTTTTACATATAAGATGTGTTTGGACACCTCATGTTACTGAAATCATTTGATTGCATTCCATATCTGTCAAATTGAAATAAATTTTTCCTGCATCACATCTCAAAAAAATTCAGTTTTGCTTCACTTGTAGGACAAATTTAGGAATTCAGAAACTTACGAGCGTCTGAAAATTTTGGAAAACCGCATCCTTGATCATTTTGTTTCTAATTAGAACACAAAAAATGGAGAACATAAAACAACATGCTGGTGTTTCTTGAAAAAAAAGAATGAAAAGAATTATTTGGCTTACCCATGAATGAGGTAGAGACCATGTATATATGACAGATTCATGATACAATGTATGAAATGATATAAATAAGGAAACGATATAACTAAGGGAAACAATACTAAGTCAGTGATTGACACAATCACAGATTATATACATAATGCTAAAAATAAAAAGATTTTATTTACTCTAATTTCTATATTCAACAGAAAACTGGTTCTTTTAGCTTATTTTTAATAAATAGTTTTTGAAATCAACAAAACAAACCAAAGGAATTCTTGATTTTGTTTTCAGTTTTCTACAACTCTGATCTAAAAACTACGCCAAATATGACCACTATAATTCCTTGATCAAAAAAATCTAAAGGAAATTAAATTACATAATTGAAATTCCGTACTATGACTTCAAGTGATGATTCCATTACTTACGACTTTTAGTGATGAGTTCATTTTATAAGGTATGACTCCCTTTTTGTTTCACAATGATCTCTATTTGAAAGGATGGGATTGTGCTTTTATTTGTTAACTCGTGGTGAAATGATCTCTATCTAAACATGTCTTTGATAAATAAAATGTGAATGTCTCCTTATTTGCTTATGTAATTCTTAACTTGCTTACAAATTGGCAGATGTTCACATCAATGATTAAAAACATGAGCCCAGACATGATGGCAAACATGGGTGAACAATTTGGATTTAAGCTTTCTCAGGAAGATGCAGAAAAAGCTCAACAAGCGATGTCATCTTTGTCACCAGATGACTTGGATAAAATGGTACCTTCTTGCACAAATTATACTTTGTGACTTGATACATATTTGTAGTTCTGTTTGTCAGCAAAATTTAGATCATTGATATATTATTTTGATTGCACATTTGAAAAGTTATCATTTGGAGTCAGCTTCTTTCTTTACATGAGATAGATTTGATACATTCATCTCTATATAAGAATTTGTTGAAATCTGTTTTTTATTTTATTTTATTTTATTTTATCACGAATATTATTGCCAAGACTCACATCTCACCCAACATAAATATTATTGCTACTTTCATGTATCAGATTGGAGTTGATTTGAATCTCTATGCATGATTGTTCATTTGTGATGTTATTATTTACCTTCTACTAATAAACCTATCTATATTCATGAAATGGATTTTGTGCTGGAATTGTCTAAAAAAAGAAAAAGAAACTTTTCTGCCTAGTGTTTCTGCAATTTGAAATTACACATCATGCCTTCCTTTGAAGCCCTCACTCAAGTTGTAGTAACATGAGTAAATAACCGAAAGAGAAACACAGAAAAGAACCCAACCTTTATTAAATAAAAAAAACCTCAGTCAAATTCGTACTAACCTGAATATCATAGCTTTCAGTCTTGCTGAAACATACGTGAGCTTATGCTTGTGTTTACCTGTTAATTATTTTCAGATGTTGAAACGAAAGACCAAAAATAACTAGGCACTTTACGGAGTTTATGGTCTTCTCTTTCTCCCGAGGGGACAATGGCTAATCAATGCGATTAGCCCTTTTCCAAGCCTTAAGAGGACTATGTTTGTGAACCCATTGAGTTGATAATATAAATTTAAAACCTAACACAATTATTTCATAGTACATGAAATATTATAGTTTACATGGGCTACCTTAGTCATGAGTTGAGAGTTGGGAACTTGATAACTCATGCTTTTTGGAACATAATCTTTGATGAGTGCATCCACCAGGGACAAAATTGAGAATATTGTGTTGATTTTATGTCCTTGATCTACAGTTATGTGTTTAAGTGCTATGCGTTCGGCGTATGACCTTTTTTTATTCTTCTTTTAAATGAATGCTGTTCCAGATGCGATGGGCAGATAGGATTCAGGGTGGAGTGGAAAAGGCGAAGAAGACAAAAAATTGGCTGCTGGGGAAACCGGGTATGGTTTTGGCAATATTTATGCTTGTTTTAGCAATCATCCTTCACCGGCTAGGCTACATAGGAAGCTAGAGAGCAGGATGGTTTGTGCAAGCCATGGAGCACTGGAATCAATTTTCAACCTCCAAATGAACAAGAGAGAGGGTGTAAACCTAATTTTTTGTACCTTGGAAGTCGTCAGACCAGAGGAGCAGAATGCAGCAGGTTGAAGGGGTGTGGAGGTGGCAGCCGGGGGTGGCGATAGTGGTGGTGTGTTCAGTGGCTGAAACATGAAACCCGGGATTTGTTTTTGTATGTTAACTTAGTTATGTAATGAATTGTCAATTGTTTTGCAGTGTCTGATGCTTTTATAGTAAGTTTTAAATGGGAGCTGAGAAAGTACCTTCTAGAATTCTCACAAGGGAAAGCCCAACTTCTATCATTCTATTACATTCTATTATTGAATTTTCAACAATCATAGTTAAATTTAATGAAAACTTATAAAGCCTGAAGATTGTTTCCTTTCATCAAATACGATTAAAAGAGAGATTTGGAAATGAGTTGAAATTTTAAAAGAAAATAATTAAGATTAAAATGGTTCGTATCATTTAAGTTTTTTTATTAAAATTTTACTCAAATTATCATTTGGAGGGAATATTGTGGTATTTGAGTTCAAGAATATCATGGGAAAGTCTAGCATTGAGATGAGGGAAATGAACTTAAAAGAGAAAAGATGTTTAATTTTACCTTTATGAGGTACGTGTAGTTAAGATAACATAATATATATATATATATATATATATTTTTTGATTAATTATATCATTTCCATCACGTAATATATCAATTATATAAAATATTTTTTTTTCTTGATTATATTTGATTGTATCTATTTCTAACCCAATGTATACAAAGGAGTAAAGTACCAAATAACATATAAAAATCACTTAGGCCCTGTTTGATTGGGGGATATAAAGATTGGGATTGGATATTATATCCGGTGGGGTCCATATATTCCATGTTTGTAATTTTTTTTTGAAGGATTTAAGTTTTTTTATTAAAATTTTACTCAAATTATCATTTGGAGGGAATATTGTGGTATTTGAGTTCAAGAATATCATGGGAAAGTCTAGCATTGAGATGAGGGAAATGAAGAACTTAAAAGAGAAAAGATGTTTAATTTTACCTTTATGAGGTACGTGTAGTTAAGATAACATAATATATATATATATTTTTTTTGATTAATTATATCATTTCCATCACGTAATATATCAATTATATAAAATATTTTGTTTTCTTGATTATATTTGATTGTATCTATTTCTAACCCAATGTATACAAAGGAGTAAAGCACCAAATAACATATAAAAATCACTTACATCATCACATTCCGTCTAAGTTTATAACGAATCCCTGACAGCTTATTAGGGGGCACAGTGCAATGCAACTCAAATATCAAGGAGATCGATGTCATTTTCTTAAACTAGTGGGGTGCTGTCTGTAATTTGTGTAATAGTAAGAAAAAATTATTAATTAATTCTGAAGGACCATAACAAAATCAATCCAAATCACCATAATCCTAATTATTTAATATAAAATTATAAATCTAATTTTTTTCACCAATCATAATTATACATGTAAAAGTGTCACATAATACTTCGCCTGAAGCAACCAATAAATTCTTAATCAGTGTAATTTTCCCTATGCTAAGAAAACATTCACACACTCACAGTCCTAGTCATCTTCCTCTCTCAAAACCCTAAACCTAACAATTCAAAACTCCAAATATGGCAGCAAACCCAAAGAAAAGCTTCATCCCCCTCTTCCTCATTCTCTCTCTCTCCTCTCTATTCCTCTTCTCTCTCTACAACTTCTCACTACCTCAATTTCAGTCTTCCCAAACCTCCTTCAACCAAAACCAGTGTACCACTCCCACTTCACCTAATCACACCAATGCCAATTTCGTTCTCACCATCAAAGTCCTCGCCTTCGATCGCATCGCCTCTCTCTCTCGCTGCCTCCGATCTCTCTCCAATGCCCATTACCACAATGACAGGGTCAATCTTCACATCTTCATTGACCACTTCAAAATCACGGACGATTCAACTGATAATTTTGATGGAAAACTGAGTGAATCGCGTCGAATTCTGGATTTTGTTGATGGTTTTGTTTGGGAATTCGGTGAAAAATTGGTGCTTTACCGGACTGGAAATGTAGGGTTGCAAGCGCAGTGGTTGGAGTCGTGGTGGCCGAGTTCGGATGACGAGTTTGCCTTTGTTGTGGAAGATGATTTGGAAGTTTCACCTCTGTATTACGGATTTCTGAAGGGTTTGATTGTTAATTATTACTATAATGCTTCCAATTTTAGTCCTTCAATCTATGGGGCATCGCTACAGCGACCAAGGTTTGTTCCAGGTATTACTTCTTACCCATTTTGTTTGATCTCTCGTTTGTTTGGTTGCTCAGAAAATGTAGGATTAGCAAAGAAAATGAGATTGAGAGTTGGAACTTTTTATTTCTTAGAACTTGAGAAAACTGAAACAGCCATTCGATTGATATATTTGATGTAACTTAGCTAAAGTTTGGAAATATTAAATTGGACAAACCTAATGGAAATTGCAAAATTTTGTGATTTTGCCAAATTTGAAAGGGGTTTTGAAAAAGGTTACAGGGATTATGACTTTTCATGCAGTTGAAAGAAGTGGACATCAACTGTAAATTCAATTATCTAACCCACAGGAATTGCAATGCGCTATCTATGAACGCGCTCTGCCGTTTAGAGCAAGATGGTCCTGTTCGACATGTTGGTTTTTTTTTTTAATTGGCACCGGGGTGTCTGGATCAAAGCCCAACTAATGGCTAGGGGTGCACAAATACTCAGCAAGGAGTTTCCTATAAGTGTACCATAGTTAGTTCAAGGGTTTTCTCCCCAATTTGATGACCCCAAGAAATTATTAGCATTTATGAGGTTTCGATCTCTTAACCTTGGAGAGAGCACATCCTCAAGACCCAAGCCTTCGCCACCAGGCCAACCGCTTGCGTTCGACATATTGCTTTATTACCTTATTCTTGTGAAGGATCATACTTAATGGAAAATAACTGAATTTATTGACCTAATCGCAAGGGACAGCCCAATTAGCATTTCTTGTTAGTAGTGAAACTCAAGATTCTAGGGCTTATTAAATATCCTTTAAAAGTGCTGAACAGACATTCCTGGCCTGTTAGTTTGGTTTTGTTTTGTTCTCATTTCAATTATCACAGACCAATCAAATATCAAACTGCTGATTATAAAAATTCTGTATAGCTGCATATTTTACTGTATCCATGTGATAGTTATTGCAGTTTCGAGCATTTGTTAAAGTTCCTATGCCAGATTGCACTGTTAATATTCATCTTCTCATTCTATAGTTATCAAATTGTTTACTGATGTCAGGTAAACATGGAAATAAAATGCAATTGGATAGTGGTACACGTGTTTTCTTGTACCAGCTGGTTGGCACTTGGGGCCAGCTTTTGTTTCCGAGGCCCTGGAAAGAATTTCGTTTTTGGTATGATGCACACAAGGCCAAGGGCATCAAGCCATTTCTTCAGGGGATGGTAAATTAATTCCCACTTTACTTTTATAATTTTTTGCTTTATCTAAGTTTAGTGGAAAATGGAAGTCAATACTCTTGCGTTAACTCCATTTTTTTATAGGTGACAACAGGGTGGTACAAAAAAATGGGAGAAAGAATATGGACTCCTTGGTTTATTAAATTTATCCATTCTCGTGGGTACTTCAATCTGTATACAAACTTTTCACATGAGAGAGCACTCAGTATCTCCCATAGGGATGCCGGCGTTAACTATGGGAAAACAGCAGGGCCAGATTCATATTTACTGGATGAAAAATCTCTTGATTTCAATCTTTTGGAAATGCAGCCACTGAGCAAATTGAAGTGGTTTGATTTCTGTTTTGGACAAGTTCTTCCCAATATAGTTGTTAGGAGTTCCAATGAACTTGGGGCTGTTGTTCACTCTCAGCAGAAACTGGATTCTGTTATACTTGTGACCCTACAAAAGGTATCAGAGGCAGTGACAAGAAACTTGCTCTGCCACTTTGAGAGGCTAAATATTCAAAACTACATATTAATGGGTCCTAAATCTAATTTTTTGCTTGATCTTGCAAGACGAGGACATCCTGTGATTGATGTGGGCCAATTTTTTGACCATATGAAAAACCAGAAATTGATAGCTTTTCAAGAAATCAGCATGGAATTGACCAAGGAGGTTTCAGTGGCAAGCTATATAGTTAAGATGATATTAGAACTTGGGTATAGTACATGGGTGCTGGATGGGAACATGCTTCCAGTTAGTGGTGATATATTTTTTAATTCCACCAATCCCAACTATGATTTCTATGTTGGGAAGAGCTCTAAAGCTCTCCTTGTTAGGAACTCATTGTCTGCTCGGAAAAATTGGGTTGATGATTTTATCTACAAGGTTGCAATGATGGCAGGGTCTTTGAAAAGTAAAGATTTGCTTTCAGTGGATGACAGAAACTTTGTTTATGTAGTGGCGAAAGTATTAGAACAGAAGGGTGTGAAAATTAAGAGAATTGATAATATGGGTTTTGGTGTGAACATCAACACGAGTAATGCTGATCAAACATCTTTGGGGGATGGAAAGAAAATCATTTTCTGGTCATTCGAGATGAGATTAGACTTAATTCAGAAACGGCTTGAAGAATTAGGTATGTGGATTGTAGATGGCGATTCTTCGTGCAATGCTGTTGTTTGTCACCAGTCATAGCAGTTAACGGCAGTAGCAAGTTTTTGACCACTCGGACCAGTGATTTACATACTCATTCTGTATTAATATTTTTTTCGCATTCTTTTTATGGGTCTACATCAGACATCACCAAAGTTTACATGACAGTTTTCGAGACATGTAAACTTCACACAATCTGCATTTACAAACTTATGTGGCACCTCCTTGCCTGCATTTGACTCATCATTATGTGATTTAAGAACGTGACATTTCATATTTGTGAATTGCCCCAGAGATGTCAAGCTTTTTTGGGGGGAGTTGTAAAATCCAGCGAAAAATATGTTGCTGTCAATTTTATTTTTTTGTTTTTTTGATAAATAAAATGGGGTAAGAGAGGGTGACCAAACATAGCAATTCTTGGTGTGACCAAAGCAGCCCTTACACACCAGAGAGTCGAAAAAGAGGAACCTAGATGGGCCTGATAAAGCAGGGTAACCACAGGCGCTACCTCGAGACGGGCTTGAGCTATAGTTTGACCCCAATAGCCCCACCTAGGTCCTAATGAACAGAAGCTGAGAGTTAAGGTGGATGGCAATCATGTCACCGCATGAAGACTCGAACCCAGATCTACTTATCAAATCTAATGAGTGAGCTCTCACCGCTTGGCCTATTGTTTTCCTCTGTAAATTTCACCAAATGGCTGCTGCATCCCAGCTTCGATCAAAGCTGATTATCAGTTTGTATTTGTGGTGGAGGAAACCATTTGTTTGTGTTAATTGCTTCTTATAATTCCTTGCTTTCCATATTACCTTTTTTTTTTTTCCTGAGAAAAGAAAATTTGAGTTTGTTTGTTCTTCCATGCTTAAAACTCCAATGTAGGGTAAAATCTTTTGATGGAACATATTTTCGTTAATGTTGTGTAAGCCTATTTTAGATCAACTCAAATGACATAAAAATGATAACCAATGCCCATTAAAAGATGACAACATTATCAGACGACACCTTACAAGTCACTCAAAACACACAAGACAAGCACTTCACCACTCTTCCAGGCTAGCTCCATCAAATGCTATGTAATTACTTTGTTAGACAATATATTTAATGAAAGAGAGACTAATGCTAGTTCCACCTTACTACTTAGATTGGAGCCTAGTGTGTTAGAGCACTGCTTGTCAGCATTCGTTCTTGGATATAAATTAACTAAAAGGGCTGAGCAAAGGCGACATGTATGCAGTCTTATCTTAATTTTTTTTTATAAAAATTTATTTATGAGACTCAAACCTCGATATAAATATCTAGTACCATCATATTAATTGGCGGGATTTTTAAAAACAATAAAAAATTAAAAGCAATGTAAGCAACTCTTCGTGAACGTGGAGGATAACTCACCAATTTCCACTTTTGAGCTGCATTTGAATCATGAATTTGAGTAGAAATTTAGAAAGGGAAAGGAGAATGCAAGAAAAATTAAAGAAAAAAAATAGCTTGTCGTCTTTCGTTTCCTTTTTAAATTCCTATTCAAATTCATAATGCAGACATAATTTTAATGAGAAAACAAAAGAGGAGGAAGAAAATGAGAGAGATTTCCATATTTGCATGAATCCCTCCCCTTAGCATGGATCTCATATTTGCCATTGATAATTTAATGCCATATTATTTATTTTAGAAAACCAGCCAAGGCAACCAAAAATAAAACAGCAAATCAAGTCAATATACCAAATTTTTTTTTTTTTTTTTCTCAACCCAAGAAGAAAACATGCATATTTCCACCCCAAAAAAAAAAACTGAAGAAAACATCTATAAATATACAGAAAACCGGAAGGCAATCTAACTTTTTAAACTATTTTGATCGCAAGCGTTTCAATAACCACAGTTTTCTTAGCCTCTCATCCAATTTTAAGAACATCTTAGCCCTCTTCTCATCCAAAGAAAGCAACTCACATGCCTCGATAACGAGATTGTCATAGAAGCCAGGAATGTTCTGAACCATCTCAAACAATTCATCCAGGCACACAGACTGGTTAAATCCAGTCAATGCATCGGCTATCCTACCAATATTTGCAGCCATACAACTCATCATTTCCACAATCACAGCACTTACCCGTCTCTTCTTTGAGGGCTGTTTGGAACGTGACGATGAAGACGACCTAGCTCTCGTCTGTTTAGATGACCATTGAGTGCCATCACCAGAATGATCTTGGCTCATTTCCTCGTTGATCATCATTTCCTCGTTGTTTGAAGCGGGGTTGACATCGCATTTAGCACCAGTTGCATGATCATTACCAATGATAACATGCAACTCATCGTAGTTCTCAATTGATCTTGCTTGTAAACATTTTGCATCGGGATGCATCTGTGGAAATACGAGTTAATTTAGCACTGTGAAGTTGAACAAGAGTAGCAAGAACGCATTTGGAAACAACTTTTAGGATTCATCGATAATAGGCACAACCAATACAATCTCTATTAAAATGTTTAAGCCTTCCATGAAGTCTCAATAAACCCATCACCAAGTAAGACTCCTGAGGGGAAAACAAGAATTTTGAATTTCTGCAAAAATATCCATTTCAAGTCCTGAGGAAATAACATAGTAAATCTCTTTATTTATTTGTTATTGCCTTAAATAATCTTAAAGATGGCACTCAAGAATATTATCAAACACAATTTTAGACATCTCTACGAATTCTAGAGAACACGAAATGTACCTTGATGTATTCATTCCAAACGGAGTCATTTGCAACAACCATCTTTCGTCCATCATCCCACTCAAATCCTATATGACAGAGAAGCTCATTTACGAGCCTATACAGTTTCTTCCATGTTTTTAAGCGGCTCCTGATGTTTTCTTTAGTTAAATCAAGCCCGAAATTTTCATTTAAAGCCTTAACAACAGCCTTAAATGCCAAGGGCTTAAAATTTTTCTCAAGCTTATTCCCCATCTTCATTTGCTCAATTAGTTTCTTTGTTAAGCAACAGTCCATCTCATCCAACCATGACACATATTTCCCTTTGTCTTTTCCATTGTCACTTGTATTCTGATATACTTCAGTGTCTACACCTTCCTTGTCAGCAGACCAATCCAAGTTGGCTTCAGCATCATTTACAGAACACTCGATTGGATTATCATTACCGATGATGATGCACAACTCAGCATAGTTTTCAATGATCTGTCCTCTAAGAAACCGCACATCAGGATTTACCTATTTGACAACAACAAAAAAAAAAAAATTGATAATAGAGTTGCGAATTTGTACACAATAAAGTAGTTTGACAAAAATAGACACCAAAACATATTATGAATTTTCAAAAATTGTTTCTGCCCCCAAAAGGAGAAATCCATATAAAAACAACTAGCGGTTGGCACACGCGATGCGTGTGCAATTTAAATAAATAAAATAAAATAAAATATTTGTTGTATATTGTGTGCTAGTCAAGTGGTGTAAGAATCTTATTCATTTGACATAAGTCCAAAGTTCCAGTCCCCGCCTCTCATCTATCTATTTTTTATTTTTTTTTAAAACAAAAAATGGGCACGTGGCAGCATAAGAAACCAAGGCTTCAGGACACCATAAGAGGTGTTCACTTTATATATAGTATAGATGAGGGCTTTTTTCCTTTTTTTTTTTTGCTCATTTGTTCACCAAACTAGGTTTTGAAAATTTTTCAAAACCAAATTCTGAAAGCTCAACCAGGCAGAGTAGAAATTTACCTTAATATAGTCGTGCCAAACAGAATCATCTGCAATGACCATCTTTCGTTTCTCGTCCCATCTAAACTCACTATGGTCAAGGAGTTCCTTGACACAGCCATACAGTTTCTTCCATGTTTTAATTCGGCTCCTAACATGGTCTTTTGTAAAACCAAGCTGAAACCTTTCATTTAATGCCAAAACAGCTGTATCATATGCTTCAAGATTAAATTTGTTTTCTAATTTATTTTTTTTTCCCCAGTATCAGTTGTTCTACAAGAATCATGCAGAGGCAGCAGTCCATTTCGTTTGTCCACCATATGGTCTTGGCTTGATCTTTCATGCTTCCACTATATCGAAGTGGTGATACACATATACCTTCCATACCATCTGAATCACCAGCCAAACTATGCACAATATCATCAGCAGTTCTTGAATAGCTTCCCATTGTGTAATTGTTGCCAAAGATAATGCACAAGTGATCATAGTTCTCACAAACCCTTCCTCGAAAAGGCCGGGCATCACGGTGTGTCTGCAGAGACGCATGTTTTTCTTTTAGTAAAATGATTGACTACACAAGTCCTGCCTAATTGGGACAGTTGAATGTCAGACTGAATGACATATGTATTTCAAAGTTAGATAAAGAAATAAATCAAATTCAATCCGGTCCTAAGAAAATTGTTGTTTCAGAGTTCTGATTTGGGTAAGAGTCATTGTACTCTATAAAAAAAATAATAGTATTAACACCAATGGCATTTATTAGAGAGAGTGAGAGAGAGAGAGAGAGAACATATTTAGCAAATTTTCTAACTGTGGAAATGGATATATTGATTATGCAAACGAATGTGAAGCCAAGTCCCACATCGCTAGGTTACTAAAGTAACACATCTGTGCACACACATCATGCATAAGCTTACATTAGATATGTACATACGAATCTTTTTTCCCATTCTCTTTATGATAAGAGACATCATACATCTCTCGAATCATATAATTTCATATATAGGGAGTTCTATTATTCAAAAACTCAAATACTTGAACAACTCAGACCTTGCTAAATATGTTACAACTCCAAACGCTTTTTCAAAATAATAATTTACTTTCCATAATTTTTAGATTTAGATTTACCATCAAAACTTAAATTCTATAAAAAGTCAAAATACTTGACAATGAAATACTAAATTTTTTTCAAGAATACATAAAAGTCAAAATACTCAAAAAATAAATAAAAAAATATATATAGCTTACCTAATAGCCTATTTTAGTCTTTTATTTTTGTAAACAAAGCAAATGGGTAAATCTCAACAAAGAGACATAATAGTTACTCCACATGTGTGTGTGTGCGTGCATGTATGTACCACTCAACAAAACCCTGTCCAAACTATTTGAGGTCAGCCACATGAATCTTGTTTTGCCATTCCATTCTGTTTGGGACTGTAATTTGATTATTGTGTTTGTGTGCGTGTGTGTGTGTGTGTGCACAGGCGTATAAAAGAAACATGTGGATAAATTACAGAAATGAAAATTAACATGAAAATAAGAGATGTACAAACCTTGATGTAGTCATCCCATGCTGAATCATCAGCAACAACCATCTTTCTTGTCTCATCCCATGTAAATCCTTCCTGATCAAGGAGTTCTTTTAGAATACCATACTGTTTCTTCCAAGTTTTAAGCCTATTTCTAATGTGATCTTTAGTCAGGTCAAGGTGAAATTTTTTGTTTATAGCTGTAACAGCATCTGTACATACCCTGGACTTTAAATTACTATCTAATTTATTTCCCTCTTTATATTGCTTTACAAGAATATTGCCCGAGCAGCAGTCCATTTCTTTTGTCCATATCAAGTGTCTAGTCTGCTCTTTTGTACAGCTACTCTGAATCTGAAAAGTATCAGTAGCCTCTACATCCTCGTAGCCCGGGGTCGAGCCCAACAAGGCATCACTATTTCTGGGACTAAATTCAAATGCAGAGTCATTGCCAAAAATAATCTGTAAATTGTCGAGATTTTCAACAATCCTTCCTCGATATAGCCTTGCATTCGGATGTGTCTGCATGCAACACAGATAAATTTATCAGTCGCCCTTCTTTTTCCATTTCAGTGTTTTTATTCTTTCCATTTTCCATATTTTTGTTCTTCAGCCACATGATGAAATAATGCCAATTTCATGTCTTCGAAATGAAAGGTTCTTTGATATTCATAGCATTTAAATGAGTTTAAATACCCTCATCAAAATTCAGTTAGGTATGGTCTTGGCTTGATCTTTCATGCTTCCACTATATCGAAGTGGTGATACATATATACCTTCCATACCATCTGAATCACCAGCCAAACTATGCACAATATCATCAGCAGTTCTTGAATAGCTTCCCATTGTGTAATTGTTGCCAAAGATAAAGCACAAGTGATCATAGTTCTCACAAACCCTTCCTCGAAAAGGCCGGGCATCACGGTGTGTCTGCAGAGAAACATGTTTTTCTTTTAGTAAAATGATTGACTACACAAGTCCTGCCTAATTGGGACAGTTGAATGTCAGACTGAATGATATATGTATTTCAAAGTTAGATAAAGAAATAAATTGAATTCAATCCGGTCCTAAGAAAATTGTTGTTTCAGAGTTCAGATTTGGGTAAGAGTCATTGTACTCTATAAAAACAATAATAGTAATAACACTAATGGCATTTATTAGAGAGAGAGAGACACTACAAGAATTAACACATTTGCCGACCAAAAAATTGGTCGGCAAAAGTGTAATTTTTGGTCGGCAAAACATATTCCCGACCAATTTTTTTGGTCGCCAAGTTGGTCGGCAATTGAGGGTCGCGGAAAGTAATTAGCGACTAAAAAGATTTTTAGTCGGCAAAACATTCTATTTGGCGACTAAATTGTTGGTCGCTAAACATATAATTATTGCGACTAACCTATTTAGTCGCAAAAAGACTTTGGTCGACAAAAATTACATTCAATGACCATACATGTTAGTCGCTAATTTGGTCGGCAAAAATTATTTTCAACGACCAACAAAATTGGTCGGCAAAAATTACATTCCACAACCAAAACTTCTTCGCCGCTAAATATATTTTTTCTACGACCAAAAAATCTGGTCGCCATTTGTTACTTTTCACAACCAAAACTTTTGGTCGGCAAAAGTGAGATTCCACGACCAAGAACTGTTTTGGTCGGCAATAGATGTATTTTTTGCGACCAAAACTCTTGGTCGACAATTGTCATTTTTTGAGAAAAAAAATTATTTATTTGTCGCGACTAATAAATTGGTCTCCAAAAGCAAGAAAACAATACACCTGTAATTCCTAATAATTCATTCAATCCATAATAAACCTATAATTTTAAAGCATCATTCAAATCAACTGAATCATTAACATTCGACAAAATACATAATTCATTAACATTCGACACAATACAACTATTCTAAGTTTTTATTCACAAGTCACATCCGTCTAGCATAACAATTTGAAACAAAACTATTTGTTATCCATGCACAGCTATCAACAAATAAAACTACTAATATTTGTTATCCATACACATCCATCCAAAAATATTTAATCCTCCCAAAAATGCTTATACTGCCAAGTAGTCTTGTACAATTTAGCTTCGTGCACGAGATCATCCATCATCCATCTATACCAAAGAAAATGAGAAATAATGTTAGGTTTGTTTTTAATGACAATATTTGAAATGGGTAATTAAATTATCAATTTCAGAGAATCGTAAGTTCAAATCAAAATTTCTAACTCATTTGCAGGCAATTAAATTGTCAATTTCAGAATATAAGCTGCTAATTACAAATTTGAAATGGGTATTTGATTTGCAGGTAATTAAATTATCAATTTCAGAGTATAAGCTGCTAATTACAAATTTAAAATGGGTATTAACAGATTGGATAATGAGACTCATGTTTACACAGAGAAAAGTGCAAGGTTCATACATGGTCATGGCAAACACAATCAAGCTTGACAACCACAGACAGACATAGAAGACTACTATAGTGTTGAAAACAATCTTTCTCTTATTTATGGTTTTCTCTGTTTTTTCATTTCTTTTCTTTTCTTTTTCTTTGTTTATAGTTTATTTGTTTCTCCTTATGTAGTTACTTCAAAGGAATAATCCTGAAAATCTTGTGAACCTCAGAATCGACCCTCCTAAGGGTGTTCTATGCTATGGTCCACTTGGTACCGGTAAGACACTTTTAGCTAGAGTTGTGGCTAATAGAACTGATGCGTGTTTCATCCGTGTTATTGGAAGTGAACTTGTTAAGAAATATGTTGGGGAGGGTGCCTGTCTGGTTCGTGAACTATTTCAGATGGCATGTTCCAAAAAAGCTTGTATCGTGTTTTTTGATGAACTAGATGCTATAGGAGGTGCACGTTTTGATGATGGTGTGGGTGGAGACAATAAGGTTTTGCCGACCAAACCTTTGGTCGCGAAAGATAAAAAATAATTTTTTATTTTTCTTTCAGCGACGAAAATGTTTTTGTTGCCAAAACTATATATACCGCGACCAAACAAATTTTTAGTCGCTGAAATTAAGGTTTTGCCGACCAAACTTTTGGTCGCGAAAGATAAAAAATAATTTTTTATTTTTCTTTCAGCGACGAAAATATTTTAGTAGGCAAAACTATATATATCGCGACCAAAATAATTTTTAGTCGTTGAAATTAAGGTTTTGCCGACCAAACCTTTGGTCGCGAAAGATAAAAAAAAAAATTTTATTTTTCTTTCAGCGACGAAAATGTTTTTGTTCCCAAAACTATATATACCGCGACCAAACAAATTTTTAGTCGCTGAAATTAAGGTTTTGCCGACCAAACTTTTGGTCGCGAAAGATAAAAAATAATTTTTTATTTGTATTTCAGCGACTAAATTATTTTAGTTGCCAAAACTATATATACAGCGACAAAAATATTTTTTTAGTCGCCAATTGTGGCAAATTTAGCGACTAAATTTTTTTTAGTCGCCAATTGTGAGATTTTTAGCGACTAAATTTTTTTTTAGTCGCCAAAAATTAATATACCCCGACTAAAAAAATTTAGTAGGGAAATATTGTACTTTTACCGACTAATATAATTTTTGGTCGCCAATTCCACAACTTTTGGCAACCAAAATATTTTTAGTCGGCAAAAATGGTCGCCAATTGTGTATTTTCTTGTAGTGATAAGAATGAAGTTGAAAATCAACTTGATAAGAAAATCAAGAAACTTAGAAGTGATAGAGGTGGTGAATATGAATCACCTTTTGGTGAGTTTTGAAAAGAACATGGAATAATTCATCAAACCACCGCTCCTTACTCACCTCAGCAAAATGGAATTGCTGAAAGGAAAAATAAGATTTTAAAAGAAATGATGAATGCCATGCTAAT